GGACACTGAAGGTGGCTGAGTCAGCACATAGGAGGCCCCAGAACCTGTAAGGAGAGGAAAGAAGACATTGGTCAGAGGCAGGGGCCTCTCTCCCCAAGGGGATGCTGGCCCGTCAAGCAGCTTCAGGATGAGTTCAGGGCAGGCCTAGCCTGAGACATTGTGGGGCCTGAGCCTCAGAGAGGAGTCCCTGGGAAGCCTCACCTGTGTAGACAGTCAGGAGTGAGAAGAGCAGAGAGATCCAGGCCATGGTCAAGATTCCTCCCACAGCTCAGTGTCCTGAGGCTCCCCAGCTGGGCTGGGCTCCCCCAGGACTCTCTTAAGACCAGCCCAGGCCCTGCAGGGAGGAGGCCCCACATGCAAATCTGCTCCTGCTCTGGATCCCTGAAGGAGGGGCCTCAGGGGAGGCCTGACTGAGCCTGTGGGCTCCTGGGGCAGAGGGGGCAGGTCCTTCTTCTGGCAAGGGAGAGTCATCATGGCCCTGAGGTCATTTCCTACTCTGAGATTCTCGGATTCTGGGAGTCAGGCTCATTCCTCCCCAGATCTGTGTCTGATGCTCCAGGACCTTGTCAGTGTCACTGAACTGCTTTCTCCTCCTGGACCTTCCCTGTGCACTGGGGCCTTCTCCCCATGGGCCATCCCTCCACCATTCTGCCCCCTCTTCCCCTTGGTGAGTTCCCCCAGGCCCTGCTTGGGGACAGCCAGACTTCATTCCCCTCCAGCTGTGCCTGTGACTCTGGAGGCTTCAGAGACACCCTGGGATGGTGACTCCTCTCCCCCATCACTGTGAGCCCCTTCCATTGACTGTCTTCCCCTCTTAGAATGTAAGCTCCATGGGGGCAGGGTCTGTCCATTTCTTTCCATTGGAATCCCCTGTACTTAGTACAGTTCTTTTACATAAGAAGTGATTAATAAATGTTTCTTTTGTTGCCCTGCCCCTAATCCAGAGCTGTCTCATGACCATCCAAAGGAACAATCATAACAGAAAATGGGCCCAGCTTCTGTCCCCAAATCCCCAGGGCTCCTGCTGCTCAGGCCTCCCCAGAGGCTGCAGAGGAAGAAAGCCAGGCACATCCTCCCTGTGGGCCTCACTTCCCCATTGGTGAAAGAGGGCGTTTGGACCAGGGGATCTCTCAGCTCCCTTCCAGCTCTGGCCTTCGTTGATCAAGCCCAAAGGGCCTGTTTACATCTGGGATTCGAAGCAGATTCCATAGACACTGATGCACTCAGGGAATCAAAGTTAGCCACGAGTTTCAATAACACGTATTAATTTTTTTTATTTACTTTTCAAAATTTCTTTAATATTTAAAAAAATTAGAGATTGGCGGCTGAGGTTTTCTTTGCATTCAGGGTGTCCTTGTAGACTGTCTCATCTCCTAGATTCTGGGAATGATGCTTCAG